TCCTCTGGTATTCTCTGCTTTCAGCTAAGATCCATCTAACATCAGCTACAATATCCCTAGTACCACGACCCCTTCTAAACCCAGCCTGGGCTTCTGGTAGCTCTCTGCTGATGTGCTGTTACAGTCGTTTTTGGATAATCTTCAGTAAAATCTTGCTTGCATGTGAAATCAGTGAGATTGTTCTATAGTTTCCACACTCTTTTGGTCACCTTTCTTTGGGATAGGAACAAATATAGATCTCTTCCATAATTCAGGTTGGCAGCAGGATAAAATCCCTCAGTCCAGAGAGCTTCTCAAACATGGTCACAGGCCCTTTGACCTTCAGCCTCATGGCTTAGGTCAATTGTTACAAAATTCCCTTAGTACTGTAAGTTATAGCATCTTCCCTCAGTTCTCCAGCAAGCTTGGGTGAAGACCACTGGCTCTGGTTCCAAGAGGTAGTAATCCCAAGTTAGAGCTGTCTCAGGTTGGTCTCTGATTCTCTCCAAATGATTTTGTTGCCCTTACACAGATCTTGGTCTGTCTGGCACAGGAATCTGTGGCCCAGAAGGATGTGCACTGCTTTTGCTTCCTTACATTGGTGTTGAGATTCCCATTTTCTGCCACTGAAACGGCTCTATTCAGACCTAGTGGGATGGTGAGACTAGCCAATATCCTGTGGAAAGACTGCTGTTGAAAACTGCCAAGTTGGAAACATCCCATAGTTTACCCTCCAATGGGTTTTCAGATGCATTAAATAGCATGGGGGTAGGCTGTCCATCTTTCTCCCGTAGAGGACCTGATAGTTTGGACAACATGCCTTCAGGACCAGCAGAGTTCCCTACCACTAAGCTATCGAAGCTTCCTAACATACCCAATTTGTAGGATCCTGCCCATCTGTGAGGCAAAGTCCAAGTCAAAGGCTAGGAAAATCACCCGGAACAACAAATCCTTGACATTACACCACCAAGAACCTCTTCAGAAGACTAGTGACCCCTGAATTGATACAGTTAAGATCAGAAGGGGAAGACTTTGGGAAGCAGAAAGACTATAGTTCTAGGATAGCTATTTTATTTCAAAATAATTAAATATAGTTGATAGATTGTATTCAATGGATAATGCAAATGAGCAAATGTATGGAAATAAACTTTTTTTAATGGAAGAGTAATGTTCTTTATTTTTCTTTTTTAGAAAATAATATACTTTTAATAGTACTAACATCTTGTTCTACCAGATGCATTGGGCAAATTCATAATATTTTTTGATATAAATACTTGAGCACAACAACAAGATAAAGGTAAATAATCCGGGGCCCTTTAGAGTAGTGAGAGAAGATCTTCACCCTGAAACCCACAGCGTCCCTTTTCAGCAGGAAGTAGCTAAGAGAATACGCCATCCCCTTTTCCTTATGACTCAGGGTGAAGTCTCTCTCAGGGAGGAGTGATAGGGAATGGCAAAGGACACACTGACAAAGAAGATTAATCAGAACTGGCTTTGACAAGCACTGTGGCATTTGGACAAGAACAAACTGGGAGGAGGGTAGAGAGAATAGTGCAACAATGAATGAACGGAAACCCAAAATCTCTGTAAATGTTTATGAAAATTAATAAAATATAATTATAGAAAAAAAAGGTAAATAATCCAATAGAAAAATGGGCACAGGATATGAAGAAATGCTTCACCAAAGAAGACATTCAGATGGCCAACAGGCACATGAAGAAATGTTCAAAATCCCTAGCTCTAAGAGAGATGCAAATCAAAACAACCATGAGATATCATCTTATCCCAGTAAGAATAGCAAAATTTAACAGAACAACAAGCAACAAGTGCTGGTGAGGTTGTGGAGAAACTGGAACCCTTATTCACTGTTGGTGGAAGTGTAAAATGATTCAACCTCTATGGAAAGCGGTGTGGCTTTTTCTCAAAAAGTTGCAAATAGAGATACTATTTGACCCAACAATTCCACTACTGGTAATATACCCTAAAGAGACCATAACTGACATCCAAGCAGATATATGCACACCCATGTTTATCATGGCTTTGTTCACAAGAGCAAGGAGTTGGAAACAACCTAAGTGCCCATCAACAAACAAATGGATAGAGAAGCTGTGGTATAGTCACACAATGGAATACTATGCTGCATTGAAAAACAAGTAACTCATGCAATATTATTCAAAATGGGTGAGCCTCAGGGACATTATGCTGAGTGAAATATCTCACTCACAAAAAGACAAATACTGCATAGTGCCACTGTTGTAAAAGGGACTGACATCGGAGTTGGGGTAAGACTGAGAAAACCTGAATAAATTATGTATATTTTATTGAAACAGATGAGGGAGAGAACAGTTTAAAAGTGATATATGATAGGGTCGTATAGTTATCACAATGGTCCAGAATGAAGGTTGCAAAATGGAGTGTACTGGGGGCGGTGGGTGGGGGGGGAGGAATTGTACACCAATGAAGGAATTTTTCTTTTACTTTTCAGGGGAGCAGGCAGGAAGAAAAGTGCAACAATAAATGAACGGAAATCCAAAATCTCTGTAAATGTTCATTAAAATTAATAAAATAAAATTTTTAAAAATTAGCTAATTCTATACATACTACGAAGAACTTGACATTTAAAAAGTAAACATGCCTCTGGAAACTCTATGAACTTTGATAAATGACAATCTTTATAGAAAGGCTTCTGGTCTTTTGTTCATAGGATTGCTATAAGTCGTGCTTGACTTGATAGCTATCAACAAAAACAATTTTCTTTGTAATATATCTTCCTCTCAATTACTATGAAATGTTTTTTCTAGAATAACTCTTTATGTCTTTAACAGGAAATTACAGTGTGGATGAGTCAAAATAAATCACATCTACAAGAAAGAATTCTGGTGATCATAAGCAGAGTGCTAAGCTTTGCAGCCCACAGAGTCAAGACATACGTGAGTTACACAATGCAATTGTGCATCCTGGTTCTGATTCTGGAGCTTCAGTTTCTAAGTCTTGGGTTTTGTAGAGGGTTAGATGCCTGCTTGGCAATATCATGCTGGTAGGGTGGTGTGTCATAAAGGGATTCAGCATCCTACATGATTTTATGTCAGTCAAAGAAGTGTTTCTCAAACAATTGACTGTATACTGTGGTTTGCACAAACAATGTATGCCCAAATCAGATTTTCATCGATTCTGGAAACTCCTTTATATGGACCCAAATCAGTATTATATATAATTATATAAATTTGTCCAGTATTTCTTTCTGGGGGGAAAAAAAAGCAAAGTTAGATAATTCATTGGCACTTTGATTGTAAAACATAAGAGAACAGAAGTCTTCCTTTACGGTCCCACAGGCAGCTGGAATCCACCAGGAGCTCTACAGGAGGAAGCTTCTTGTCATGCCAAGTATGGCTTCTAAAAACTTACTGGAGGGTCAGCTGTAAATTGGTTCGACTGGATGGCAATGGGTTTGAGGGGTTTTTAAAAACGATGGATGAAATTTGCTTGAGAAATCAAGTGGGATCAGTTTCTTTGCAGTGTTCATGAAACACCAGCAGGTGGGAGCACAGCAGCATTTTCTAGAACATTGATACTAACTCATTGATACTGAACTCATTGTAGCTTTGAAGCAGAAAGTTTTCAACAATAACTTTCTAGTTGAAATAATGCCTAAAGATGCTTAAGTCGGTGAAATTAATGATAAATATGTTAGACTGAGCAATCAAAATTGAACTTTGTTAATAAATTCTGGGATAAAGGCTGAGCTTCCCAATGGTGTCTCTTTATTTAAAACATTAGTGATAATCAGTGAAGATTTATTATTCCTTTCTCTAGTTAA